CCCCAAACCCTAAGCCCAAAACCCAAAACCCTGAACCTCAAACCTTAAACCCTAAACTTCCTAAACCCCGAGCCCACAAAGATTTCTGTGGGCCGACTGGTTTACAGAGGCCCGGAGTTCCCATTGCTCGGGCCGTGGTGCCAGAAGAAGCCGAGGAGGATACCGAGCCGGTATGGGGTTTGGGCTCTAGTTTGGAGGGTTGCTGTGAGAAGGGCTACAAATTAGGGGTGGCTAAAATTCAGGGTTGAGGCTTCATGGTTTAGGGTTCAAGATTAGGGTGGGAGGTAAAGCGTTGCATGCTGAATTGGGGGTAGGCTCTCGGGAAGGTTTAGGGCAAACTATGGGACAGGCCGTCACGTGATAGAAGAGGCTTCGCGCAGAAACGATCTGGTTTTCTCCTCTCTCCCGCCTGCTTACCAGGCTGAGCACACCGTTTGCTGCCAGCCACGGGCTCAGGCTGTGCCATGCCGTGCCCGGTTTGTGCTTTGCGGGCTTCGATGTGGCGGGGATCTTCCCTGGTAAGTGTTGAGAGAGGTTATGCTCCTTCCTGGTGCTGGTACGTTGTCTTCCTCTGTATAAACAGCAAGTACCTGTTTCCTCCCAATCTCCACTACCTCATTCTTTGGACTGGCAGAGGTGACCGAGTGCGCGATGCAGGGTTTACAGAGGCATGAGACGTTTCTCAGGCTTAATCGGATGCAGAGTCGTCTCCTCCTCCGCTGTCTCCCAGGTTATGTTGCCAAGGGTTCTTACCACTCGTAGTGACACTGTCAGAGCTCTTCCTGCTGACATGCGCATTCGCGTAGCAGTTCTGCCCCGGCTTCCATCCTACTTCGAACAAGAGAGAATACCGCCTCAATCCCCGGTTGCTGTCTGTCGCTGTCACAAGCTTCCTAAGCCTACGCCGTGAGCCCTAAACCCCTAAATCCAAAAGACCCGACTTCTGGAGCGAAGGAAGACCTAGTCCGAAGCCAAAAAGGCAGAGAGGTGTCGAAGGCCCGGGAAAAAAGCCTATCCTTACTCACCGAGGCCCCGGAGAGCCCTCGGCTCAGCTTCTTCCGGCCAAGAGCTCTTGGGGCGGGTTCTTTTAGGGCACTTGTTTCGGTGTTTAGGGTCGGGGTCTAAGGGGTTTGGGGTCGACGGTTGAGGGCCGCATTTTGTGTAAGGTTTGGGGGTTTTATTTGGGGCTTCGGGGTTCGGGGTTGAGGCTTGTCTCGGGCTGAGGCTGAGGGGTTTAGGAGTCTCCCGGTCCCAGATGCCGGGCACTGGTCGAGATCTTCAGGGGTTGAAGGGTGCAGTTCAGGGTTTTCACAGGCGAGCAAGGGTCAGTATTGGGCTGCTGCCGCCGCAGCTGCTGCTTGTCTCGTGGTCGTCACAGGTGCCCGCTCTTTATTGAAGAACCCGGAGTCCTGAGCTCTCAATCAGCATGCCAAAGCCCCGAAACCTGAAGCAAGAAGCCTAAGCTCCCTCAAACATGTGCCAGGCACAGGAAGCCAACCCGGGCAGAAAGTTGGAAGATCCATATCCTCATGCCCTTAAGATCCCTTAAGTGCAGTGTAGGAATGCAGTACTAGTTCCGACTCTCCGGGGTTCAGAGTAAGCCCTTTATCGCACCCTGAGCCCCGAAACCCAAACCCCTTAAACCCGAAGCCCGAAGCCCTGAGCCCCAGCGGCCGAAGCCCACCTCCCCCCAAGGCGATCCGTCAGGAGCTCCCGGCTTCACTTTCCACAGCGTCGGTTCAGGGCTTCGGGGGTTTCGGGCGGTTCGGGTCTAGGTTTCAGTTGTCAGGGGGTTTCAGGGTTCAGGGTTCAGGGTTTAGGATTTAGGGTTTAGGGTTAGGGTGCAAGGCCCAGAGGGGTTTGGAATTTCAGGTTTGGGCTCGGTGTTGATTCCCGGTTCTGGCTCTGACCAAGGGAGGGCTGTAAAGTATCCCCTTGTAGTGCCTATGCAGTTATAATAGAATATGCACAGAAGCCTAAACCCTAAGGCCCCTGCAGTAGATCCTAACCTCTAAACTGAGAAAGTGTCGCGTAAAGCTGCCTAGTCCAGCTCTCAGTGCAACCGCTCCCTCAACTTGGAAGGCAGCTTCTGGTGGGGCTTGGTGGGGTATATTATCGCATAATGACATAGTATAGCAGTTATAGTTGAAGGATCGGAGGGTGGTCGGAAGTAGGCTCCCTTACACCTTTTGGGCGCCCTGCCAAAGTTGATGGAACTGTCAGATGAAGGGACGTGCTCAGACGGTGTCTAGTGTTTTTTGCAGTCTGACATGGTGCGAAACCCAGAACCTTGAACCTTAAAACCCCCAAAAGCCTAAACCTCAAAAAGCCTAAACCCCAAATCCTAAGCCCATGGTCCGACGAAGAGCATGGCAGGTCCTGGAGAGCGCCTCCTGTGATGATACGGAGCCGTGCCCGCGCTCCTACCGAAGCGAGCCGGTAACCCCGCTTTGAGTGGTTGGGGCTGTAGGGTTCAGGGCCTGCAGGCCCCCTAACACCTGAGGGTTCACCTCTTGACACTCTGGCCTCGCAAGCAGTTCAGGAAAGTGTGTTCGGCCCAGGCTGGAGAAGGGGCCTCGCTTTTCACAGCCACCCACTTTGACACTTCTGCCGGGCTCTTGTCAAGGAACTTGGTGTTAAGCCACAGATACCAGGGCATTAGCACCTTCATCTGCCAGATATATTCCTAAACAGGGACCCACTTGTAGGCTGACGGCGCATGGCGGCCAAATGGCGTCAGCCACGTCAGGGCAGAGACGCAGCCTGAGCCGGCGCGAAAAAAGAACTCTGCACTGGATTGGCTTTGAGTTTGCGTTGCCACCCTAAACCCTCAACCCCTCAACCCCTAAAGCCCCTAAAGCCCCTAAAGCCCCTAAAGCCCCAAAACCCCTAAAGCCCCTAAAGCCCCTAAAGCCCCTAAAGGCCCTAAAGCCCCTAAAGTCCCAAAACCCCTAAAGCTAAAGCCCCAAAACCCCTAAACCCTAAACCGCTTGGATCTTTGAGCTTCTCTCCCTGGGCAGATCGATTCAGCTTCGGCCGGGCGCATGCCGTCGAACCCTCAGGGGGGGGGTTTAGGGTTTAGGGTTTTGGGTTTAGGGTTGAGGGTTGAGGGTTTAGGCAGTGAAGATCCGGCAGAGGCATAGGGGGTCCGAATATGCAGAATAAGGTACCCATAGGCCCTAAAATAGTTCCCTTTTGGGGTTCATACATAGAATCCTAAAAGGTAACCCCAAACAAGGAACTACAGTACTATGGGGCCTATGGGTAAAGAATGCACTTCGTTTATCTTTTGTTTTGCTTCAATTCACTTCATTTTGACCTTTTGGCATCGCCTCGCTCTTCACCAAATGAGTAGCAGCGTCGTCTTCTTACATTTCGTGTTTATGTTTCCTGCATACATGTACACGACAAGCATGTTGCAATTATTCAGGTGCCTACATTAGGGTTTGGATTCAGAGCTTGGGCTGGGGGTTTAGGACTGTTAGATGTTCAGGGCAGAGTGTTCTAGGATTCAAAGTTCAGGGGTTTAGGGTTCTAAAGTTTAGAGTTTGTGGGTTAGGGCTCGACATTCAAGAGACCCTACATCCTAACCCCGAAACCCTAAATCCTAAACCGTAGGGTTTCAAGTTCAAGAGATTCCCGCATCCGGAGATTCCGCTTCTTAGATGGGGAGTGCTTCCGGGAAGTGAGACTCAGACTCGAGGTTCAGGGTCGAGGGTATAGGGTAGGTTAGCAGCATCGTGCCTATGTAGTCCCTATATTTACATTCGACTTTTTCGCTGAAGCCCTGTTCTAGTCATTACATGCCTTGCGGTAGGGTTTAGGGATGTTGCAGGTGCAGGCTGTCATGTGCGCAACGAGCTACTAAGGCTCTGGAGCACATCCTAGAAAAGGTGCCTGCAGGTGGCCGTTACTCCCGTGGGCCTCAGGGCGTCCTCTCGCTGACTAATGCTTCAGGGCTCCAGATCTTTGACTGTTGCAAAAGACCGCAAGGGCCGCAAGGGTGTGGGTTGTCCGTCGGCGTTCGGCTAATGCAGGGGCCTAAACAGTTACCAATACTATTTGGGGGGCTCCTTATTGTAATTCTACTAATATATTGAGCCCCAAAACCCACTTCTAATTAATTAAGGCTCCTAGACTGATGACCCGCGACTGTTCGATCCGCGTGGTTTAGCGGTCTTGGTGCAGGTGACATCCAGCAGGTCCCCCGCGAGCTTCAGGCCGGGATTTCGTATGTTTGTTTTTTGTTTTTTCGCAATTTGTGGCTTCACTTCGCATGTTTAGGGTCTCGGGTTCTTTTTGATTGTAGGCTTTCGAGTCTAGGGTCGTTGGGCTTTGGTGCTTCAGAGTCCTGGGTTCCTTTGAGCTGGAAGAAGGGCTGTTGCTGGCTCGCTGTTTTGGGTTTGGTTGGCCCTGAAGTTCTCGTGGGCTAGAGGTCTGAATAATTGGCGTACAGTATCTCGTAGTCCCTGTATACTTACAGTATCTTGTTCTGGTAGTACACAGTATGCCCCAACTCTTCAACCCGAATCGTTTCGATGTGTGGAGCGCTCCTCTGCCTCTGAGGCGTTTTCGTCGTCATTCAAGGCCTGCATCCCTCCTCCCACTTGCACTTGAGGGCTGCGGCTTTAGGGTGCGGGACTTCTTGGACTTTCAGGCGGAATTCGGGGAGTGCGCGTTGGATGGGTAAGGTGTATATGCCTGCAACCTCGGGTACGAGGGTCTGGATTGTGCTACAGGTTATGGGTTTAGACAGGCGGTATTGCTGTGTAGTCTCTGTATAACTCTGCAGTAGCATATCCAAAGCCTTAGTGTAATTATTGATCTCCTAGATTTACAGACCATGCCCAGTTGAAGCTGGTCTCCGCGCTCAGCGACCAGGCTCGTTCCGACCTGTTTTCTGTTTTCTTCCTCGCCATTCGGGTGCCAGAATCTCGCTGAACCTCCTTCCAGACCGAGACGTGAGCCCTGTAAACTTGCCCAGCACGACCTTCAGAAAGACACCTTTCTTCACAGTGACTTGTGTCGCTTCAAAGAGCCCTAGCAGCCTAGCGCCGCATGACGTCTGGCTCCAAGATTCAAAGTTTCAGTGCTTCTGGAGAATGCTTCGCGCACTCGCGTTCCTGTGGCTGTCGGCGAATGGCTATACCCCGCTCCGACCACACGAGGGGGTGAGCTACGCCCTGGAGGTGCCTAGCCCATTGAGGATGATGGCATTTGGGGGTGTAGGTAGGGTTTTGGGGTGCTTTTTGAGGTTTGGAGGATGTTTGGGAGTTTGGGGTTGTGATTGGATGCTGACACACCGCGTGGATGCACCCATGCCATGCCGAAGAAACAACCCTGACACACATTATACTGTTCCCCCAAAGCCCAGCTCTTACATAAAACCCCATAGAAACACAACTTAAAGCTGTTGAAACCCGAATTCTCCATTTTCACCCTGACGATCAAATCCAAAAGCCGAGCCTATTATCGTTGTTAGTGTTATTGTTCTTCTTTCTCTTATTCTTATTCTTATTCTGCCATTAGTTCTGAATAATCCTAATATTCTTAATTATTAGTATTGTTGTCATGATTATTGGTTAATTAGTATTACCACCTGTTAGTTATTGCTGATATTATTTCTATCATTAATTATGATTATTATCGCTATTATTAGTAGTGCTATTATTGTTATTATTGTTGTTATCGATATTAGCATGATTATAAACGATTAGTACTGACTATCGCGTTACAATTACCGTTACTATCGGTGTTACTATTAGTACCATTTTTTATTATTCTTACTATTATTCTTCTCCTCACTATTATCTTTCTTATTATGTGTGTTATGGTTGTCACATTATGATGATTATCATCGACATTTCTAGTGTTAGTGTTGTTACTCGTATTTCTATTATTATCACTGTAACTATTATCATCACTATCATTATCATTATCATTTTCATTATCATTATCATTATTAGTATTGCTATTATTACTATTATGGTTCTGACTATTATGCTTATTATGCTTTTTAGTTTTTATTTCTAGTATTGTTACCATTGCTGATGCTAGCTTCATTATTTGTGCTAATGTTAACATGTCTATGAATACTATAATCATAGCCGCAACTACCAGCATTGTTATCATATTACAATTATTGACGGTGTCATCATTGCTATTCTTGTGCTCATCACTCTTGATATCCGTCTGACCACCATGATTATCATTGCTGTTCTTGTTGTTACTACTGTTCTTGTTACTGCCACTGTTGTCATTATTTACTATTACGGCGCCGCTCTATCCTCGACTGCGAGGTCGCCTGCACCAGTCCCTGGCCCAAGGCTTCCTTTCGGCTCCTGGGCCGGATCTCGTAGGTGCTTTCGCAAAGGGCTCCTTCAGGCCTTCAGTGTTTCTTCCAGGAGCCGTGCTAGGGTGGTGGTGGTGGTGGTCGTGGTGGTGGGTTTTCTTTGATGGTTGTTGGTTGTTATGGTGTCGCTGTTTCGTGTTGTGTGTTGTCGCTTCTGATACTTCGGATCTTTCTTAAGGAATTTTTTTCCTCTTTGCCGCTGTGGTGCTCGCTTCGGAGGTTCCTCGCCGAGGGGGGCCTCAGCAGAACGGTGGCCCAGTGGCAAGTGCAGAAGACGGGAACATCGCGAGAAGGCTGGTTCGGTGGTTGCTCATCCCTTAGACACCAAGTTGAACCTTGAAGCCCTTCACCCTTGAGCCCGAAAGCCCTACAGCCCCAAGCGCCAAAGCGTCAGAGTACGACAAGGTTTACGGAAGCGTGCGTCCAAAGCAGCCCTTACACTATCTCTTGGTTGTTTTCACTTCCGGTTCCTTTTCAGGTGTTTCATTGACAGCATGCGACGTCCGAAGGAACCCGAATTCAGACCGCTCGGGGACTTCCCACCTCGGGCCCTGTCTGTGGTCAATCGCGTTTATCCAACGTCAGTGTTGCCAGCTGACTTTGAAAGGCGTCTGTTCCATGACTGTCGAAGAGCGGACCTTACAAACGAAAGCCATGTCGGAGCCACAACGACACGGTGCCCAGAAAAAGGAAATTTTTGCAAGTTATATCACCCTAGCTCTAACCGTTTACATATAAGTTTGTGAGAGGCGTCTGGCGAGTCTGTAACGCTGCTGCGCTGTGCCTGGCTTACTCTAGCGACTGCCATGACAGTCGGATATGGGCGGCATCGTGGCAGCACAAACGCTTGCGCTGAAATAGTGTAACAGGTTACAGTTCTGACGCCGCACGTAACCTGCTAGTGAGCTACTGGACCTCAGGAGCTCGGACGACAATGAGACCCCAGATGCGAAAAGAAGCCACAATTAAACCCAGATGCAATGTCTCGACCTCCTCTAAAGACCGCCCATCAGACCCATAAAGACCCATAACACATATATGTACGTACGTGTGTATGTATGCATGTATGTATGTATGCATGTATGTATGTATGCATGTATTCAGGTATAAATACACAGTATATATACACACATACTGTATACACATATGCATCATGTATCGTAGTGCATGTATAGTACATTGTTTACATGTACATACATACACACTCACACGCACATGCACATACATACATACATACATACATACATACTTACTTACTTACTTACTTACAGCACACACATCTATAAATAAATAAATATATATATATATACATATATATATATATATATATGTATTCATATGTATATATATATATATACATACACATTCATACATACACTTTCATGCGGTGTGTGTGTATATATATATGCCATGCACAGATGTATACGGTCTCTCTCGATTTGTGGTGCATTTATGTGCTATGTATATACACATGGTCTATGTTTATGATATGTATATACATACATACATACATACATACATACATACATACATACATACCAATGCATATACTACACAAATACATATTCATGTATGCACAAACTGTACTACAACATACTAAAACTTACGATATCTGATTATAACATGAGACCAAATGATATGATGCGACATGTTATAGTATAGTAGAATACAAGTAGAACAGAATATAGCATGTAATATTAATGATACCTTAACTCCGCGAAGGCCTCCGAGTCCGAGCCTTCGACATTTCCTGGCTTCGAGCTGCACCGGAACTCCTCAGCCTATGAGCTTCGGGCCGGGGTCCTTGGAGATGTTGGTGCCATCATCAGATTTCCCGAAAGCATCGCGAAGGGTTCTTCCGTGCGAAGCCCTTCTCATAACTACATAGGATCAAGTACATCGAGTCAAGTGCATAGTACATCGCGTCAAGTGCATAGTACATCGAGTCAAATGCACATTAGTACATCGAGTCAAATGCTCATTAGTACATCGAGTCAAGTGCATAGTACATCGAGTCAAGTGCATAGTACATCGAGTCAAGTGCATAGTACATCGAGTCAAGTGCATAGTACATCGAGTCAAGTGCACAAGTGCATCGAGTCAAGTGCATAGTGCATATGCATAGTACATAGAGTGACGTACACTTGGCTCGAGTCCACCATCTCCTCGAGACTCATCTCGGTATATCTTTCTTTCTTTTTAAAGCCGGGGTGGCACCGATGTCATCGATCGGGAATGCAACCCTCTCCATGGATTCGCGTGGTCGAGCGCCCAAACGTGTGGTAAAGTTGCAACATTTGAGGCGCAACGCGCAACCCTCTCCATGGATTCGCGTGGTCGAGCGCCCAAACGTGTGGTAAAGTTGCAATTTTTA